ATTGGGGTCTTGTAGGGGATCAAAGTACTAAGAATACCTCAAAAGGTTAGCATTGGATAGAGCTCATCGAGTTCTATCCATATATGTCATTTTCATATTTTCGTACTGCCTGTGGGCGAATCCCGGATCGTTTTTTGCGGGAAAAACCAGGATTTCTGAGTATGTTGGGGTTTTGGGAGGATGGAAGTACTTAAAATTACCTTAAAATGTTACCGTTGGATGGAGCTCGTTGAGTTCTATCTACCTATAGTATTTTCATTTGCTCGGCCGAGGTGTATGCCAATCCCGGAACGGTTTTGCTGGAAATACCAGGATTTCTGAGTATATTGGGGTTTTGGGAACATGGAAGGACTTAAAATTACCTTAAAAGGTTACCATTGGATGAAGCTCGTTGAGTTCTATCTAACTATGGTATTTTCATGGTTTCGCCGGTGGTTTGGGCGAATCCCGGAACGGTGTTGCTTGGAAAACAAGGATTTCCCAGTGTGTTAGGTTTTTGGGGAGGTTGGAAGTGCTTGGAATACCTTAGAAGGTGAGCATTGGATAGAGCTCGTTGAGTTCTATCTATCTATGTTGTTTTTATTTTTTGGTTCCAGGTGTGGGCGAATCTCGGAACGGTGTTGCTTGAAAAACCAAGTTTTCCTAGTATATTGGAGTTTCGTGACGACGGAAGTGCTTAAAATACCTTAAAAGGTGAGCATTGGTTAGAGCTCGTTGGGTTCTATCTACCTATGTCGTTTTCATGTTTTGGTCCCAGCTATGGGAGAATTTCGGAACGGGTTTGCGAGAAAACCAGGATTTCTGAGTATATTGCGGTTTTGGGGAGGATGGAAGTACTTGGAATACGTTAAAAGGTTACCATTGGATAGAGCTAGCTAAGTTTTATCAACCTATTTCATTTTCATGTTTTGGTCCCAGGTGTGGGCGAACCGCGGTGCGTAGCACAACAAAAATCTGATTTTTTGGTTGTTGTTTTACAGTATTGTCGATTTTTTTCCCACTTGGAATGATACTGGAGCAAAAGTAAATGGTGCATTCGATAGAGCTCGTTGAGTTCTATCTTGGTCCGCAGAGTTCAGTCTTTGGTCCCGACTGTGAGCGAATCGAGTTACGGAATACTCGAATCCAGGCCCGATGTATCCTACGTAGTAAACTTTATTAGATAATAGTTGACGGAATTCAACTTGATTATTCGAACATTCAAAAATAAAATAATTATGTTATGGTTTTATAAATATAATGTTTTGGGTGTGGATGTGGGTGTGGGTGGGTATGTGAGTGTGGGTATGGGTGCGTGTTTGTGTAGGTGTGGGTGTGGATGTGGATGTGGCTGGGTGTGGGCACGGGTGTGTGTGCCATTATTGCTCTCCTCACTAGCACACCCACAGGCAAAATTAAGCGAGGAAGAACATTAATTTTGAAAATTAGATCCTTGGGTGATTTATAACAACCCAAAAGCGGCTTGTCAACGATGTACAACTGAGTT